CCTAGTAGTGCTCAGTGTTAGTTTAGCTGCCTTGAATGGAATTGCTGAAGTGAAATAATGATTAATCAAAAAAATGTTTTTCCTGTGGAGGAAAATTGGACAAATACTAAAATGTGTAAGACCATGTAAAGCCAAAACTAGACAAAGCAATCTTAATAATGAACAGATAGATTACAGTTCTCTAAATTTTTTGTTAGAACATTAACAGTTATTACTACCTGATACAAATGGACAGGGAAATGGAAAAAATAGCAAAGCATTTATTTAGTATACTATAAAGTATTAGAAGTATTAGAATTCAATGTTTTATTTCTTCATAAAAAGTTATCAAGAGTAGTTTGTGAGCAGTGTACTGCTTCTCATTGTGGAACTTACTATATGGAGCAAACATCTTTTCTGTGCCTTGATGATTTGTCATATTCCTGTTTGTTTGGATCAAGCTTTCAAAACATTTTACCCCTTGTGTTTTCAGTGTTATGAAATGTTTCAGAGAGTTCCTTTAGTGTGAAGTTTTTTGCTCACATTACTCTGGGATGTCTTCACCCTTTTTTGCCACAACCGACTTCCATCATTTATGTTGATAAGTTGGCCTTCACTAAGTTCTCCTAGCTACGTATCTGTCTGGAGTCTGGAATGGCAGCAGTGTCAATATTCCCAAGGTCAGCTGGTTCTTCTTTAACTCCATTTTATGTTCAGTTTCACTCCCCATGTTATCATTTTCCATTTATTTGTGGCACTTTCATCTTGCTTGGCCAATTTCCTTTTGATAACCCATTTTTATTAAATGTAGCATGGTTTTATCAGTGCAGGGAGGCAGCACAGCTGTACACTTTGCTGTCTGTATGAAATGAGTAACAGGTGGGCAGGGATTAGTCTTAGACTTTTGAAGATGTGATTGGTTACTGTTCATCATGCATATCCATGATTTACATAGTGATTTGTGGAGCTGGCAGTGAAATTTGTACTTTGTGCACTTACAGTTAATATACTATAACTGAAATTTGACTATATTGATGGGGAACCAGTCTTATTTAATTATATGTGGTAACTGAAGTTCACAAATATTGGACCCATGCAAAGCCATGGCTGCCTGTGAATAATTAAGAACAAGGTATTGAAAGGGGCCTGTAAGCAAGGGACCCTTATACTTTATTTATGGTAAATCTGCTTCTGAGTTGTTATATACTGTATGCATTTAGCAATTAAGGAACATTTCAGAAATTGAGTATATTGGTACAGATAGAAATAATTTATTTTAATTTTAGTTTCTGAAGAATGCTTCTTCGTGATTTTATTTGCCATTTTTAGGTTGTTATTTGACTATGCAGAAGACTGCTTCTTAACCAAGCACTTAATTCATGGAATAATAGCCGATTGGGAAAAGATATATATAGATATTCATGTTACTTCCTCTAGCCCCCTTTTTCCTACTCCTTGTAGAGATCCAAAATAGTGGAAGGACTTTCAGGCAAAAATGGAAAAATTCAGGCTAGTACAAGCTACAAAGGCAAAAAATCAACAAGTCAGACAACAACAAACTAGAGAGTTTCTACACAGCGAAGGATACCATAAAAAAAAAAGGCAACCTATGGAATGGTAGAAAATATTTGTAAACTATATTATCAGATAAAGGTTAATATCCAAAATGTATAAAGAACTCATACAATTCAATAACAGAAAAATAATCAGAGGTAAAGTGAACAGAGGAAATAAACATTTTCAAAGAAGACAACTCAAATGACCACCCAGTTCATGAATATAAACACACCAAACGAACATGTTACATACCTTAAATTCACATGTTATGTCAGTTACATTTCATTAAAAAAAAATTTAAGTTAGGAATGCATACAACTTGAATTGCACAATAATAAAAGAATAAATAGTGTATGGGTTGATAACAAACTAAGAAACTGTTACACTGTTATGTAATTGACTGTTTCTTTGCTTTTTAAAACTTTTCTTGTGGATGGTGAGGGATGTTGTTTTCTTATCATAGCTTCATTTTCTAGAATTGAACTTTTTAACTTTCTGGTCCTCAGATTTTATAAATTATCTTGTCAGACTACATAATGAAATGCTATGCTACCATCAAATTCAGTTTGTGATCATTGGGCATTTCTAGTCAGTTTCTCTAAGAACTTACAATTCAAATGTACTATTTTTTTGCTAGCTGTTGTAGACAAGAGCTCTGTCATATTATCATTAGCTTTATTAAGGATGAGGCATGTATATGCCTCAGCAAAGGAATACTTCACCAAATCAGAAAGTGAAAAATTTATCCTTCATTTACTATTTTTTAAAACCTGTCCTAATTCAAAAAAATGGCCAAAATATAAATGTGTAAGAGGCAATAAACAGTAGACATTAAGCAAGTAATCAATTATAGTTATAAATGGTAGGAATATAGGGTACTTTGAGATCTTACAAGGTAGTATACAACCTAATCTGGAATTTAAAGGAAGGCTTCTTAGAGGACATATATTTAAGGTGAACTCTTAGTAAAAGGAAGCTAATTTGTAAAGGGGAAGCCCAATAGTGCCAGGGAGTATGGCACCTGTGAGGGACTGACATGTAATAAATAAGGTCAGCAGTGGCCTAACTTGAAGCTGAAGAAATGGGTAGGAGCCAGATAGTACAGTTAGAAATTATGTTAACGATTTTGCCCTTCATTCTAAAATTGATAAACCATAAATGGGAGTTATGACAGTGACATCATCAAACAACATACTAAAGCATATGTAAGGCTTCTAAGTGCTTGACATATATTAACTGGTTTAATTCATACAACAAACCTATGAGGTATGTCGGTTTTTAATTCTCATGTTATATATAGATGAGGAACAAGAGGGACAGAGAAGTGAAGTAACTTGCTCAACATCATGTTTAGGAAGTGGCAGAACTGAGCAGCCCAGCTCTGGAATCTGTGTTCTAAATCTCTGCTATATTGTCTTTTATAATCCAATTTTTCCACACTTAGAGGACTTGTAACTACTAATTACACAACTTACAAGAATAGAACAGTTCTCTTATGGTGATAATGTTGCTGCAAGATCTTAGTGAGCTAATGTAGGTAGATCCATCAGCACAGTGCCTTATGTCTAGGAAGTTTGTTTATTGCCCACCTGATACTCTCTTCCATGACTATTTTGAGTAAGCAGTTTATATGAATTACCAGTAGGCACAAATGGAATCATTCCAGCATCAACATTCCACCAATTCTTTTCTTGGGTAAAATTTGTACTTGAATTTCAGTGTATTTGAATATACTTGTTGAATACAGGTAACACCTCAGACATTGCAGGTTTGGTTTTGGACCACCGCAGTAAAGCAAATACTGCATTAAAGCAGTCAGATGAATTTTTTGTGCATATAAAAGTTATATTTACAGTACACTCTAGTCTTTTAAGTTAGCAATAACATTATGCCTAAAAAATGATATGCCTACCTGAATTAAAATATACCTTATTGCTCAGAAATGCTAACCATCTTCTGAGCTTTCAGTGAGTCATAATCTTTTTACTGATGGATGGTGCCTTGATATGGCTGCTGAACGATCAGGGGTGGTTGCTGAGGATTCTTAAAGTAAGAAACTGAAGTTTGTGCCACATTGATTGACTCTTCCTTTCATGGATGATTTTTCTGTGGCATGAGATGCTGCTTGATAGCATTTTACCCACAGTGGAACTTCTTTCAAAATTAGAAATCACTCCTTTCAAACCCCGATACTGCTCTATCAGCTCGTTTATGTAATATTCTAAATACTTTGTTGCCACTTCAACAATCTGCACAGCATCTTCACCAAGCATAGATTCTATCTCAAGAAACCTCTTTGCCTGTCAATAGGAAGCAACTCGCTCATCCATTAGTTTTATCATGAGATTGCAGCAATTCAGTCACATCTTCAGGCTCCACTTGTAATTCTAGTTCTCTTGCTATTTCTATCACATCTGCAGTTACTTGCTCCACTGAAGCCTGGACCCTTCAATTTGTGAAAAACAAAATCTGGGACACACAATAAAGCGAAATGCAATAAAAGGAGGTATGACTGTACCTCATATGTAGTTCATAGCACCCTCACTAGCTTTTAAAAAATGTGGTTTTAATCGAAATACAGCACAGTTTACCTTTAAATCGGACAATTTTCCTTTTCCCTCTTGAATGAGATTACTAAGACTTCATTTTTATACTTTGAAAAAATTTCAAACTTGTAGAATAGAAGCAAAAATAGTAGTACAGTGAATCCTGTCTACCCTAGCAACAGTACACTGAACATATTTGGGAAATTAAAATTAGTACATTTCGATTACATAATTTGACAGTCCATTGAATTTTACAGGTTTCCTAGTAATGTCTTACAGCATTTTCCCCAACTGATCAGTCCAGAATCATGCACTTTTTGTACTTACCATGTCTCTTTTATTCTCTTCTAATCTAGACTAGTTCCTCAGCCTTTCTATGACTTTGATGATATTGACATTTTCAAAGACCACTTGTTTTCTAGAATGTTGCTCAGTTCTGTTTCCTCATAATTTTGTTCACGTTATACATTATTTGGCAGGAATACTATGTGAAAGAATCTGCATAAAAGAATCGTCTGTCTTTTCCAGTGAATCACATCTGTTATGCCAGTTTCTTCCATTATTGACAGTATTAATTTACATGATGTGGTCAAGATGTATCCACTAAGTTTATTTTCTCTAAAGTTACCATTTTCCCCTTTGTCATTAGTAAGCCATCTGAGGGGAGATACTGAGACAGTATTTATTTTGTCACAATAAACTTTTGATCAAATGGTTTTGCATCCTTTGTGAAGCTTAACTCAATCAGCTGTTATCATCTGGTGGCAGAAAGGTAGATTATTAAAATTTTGATAATAATTTATAAGGGTTTCAGTTTAGTGTTCCTGAGAGAGCTTTATTTATGTACTAGTGATAATTATAAATTACTTGACTATTAACCTGTTTACCTTATGGGTTTATTATTTATATGATTTTTAGGTTCATGTACTGGACAGACTGGGGAGAAGTACCAAAGATAGAACGTGCTGGAATGGATGGTTCAAGTCGCTTCATTATAATAAACACTGAAATTTATTGGCCAAATGGACTGACTTTAGATTACGAGGAACGGAAGCTTTATTGGGCAGATGCAAAACTTAATTTCATCCACAAATCAAATCTGGATGGAACAAATCGGTAAGATTGCCTTATAAATTTGTTTTTTAAACTTCAGGTAAACACCATGATGTCTTGATTGAGTAATCAAGTTATAAAGTCTAATTTATTAAGAAATCAGTGTATTTTTGACTAAGTGTCAAAGATGAAGAGAATAGACTCAGCTTGCTCTTTAAAAGGGAGCCACATTTCTCATCTATCTTGGTAGCATTTAGGATTTATGGACTGTTTTCTCTTTCTTTACTCTGATCTAATTTAGTTCTTCAGTGGTTCTCAATTAGAAGTTCTTCAACTTCTACTCTCTCCTAGGGTGTTTGGAAATGTGGGAACTGGGGTTAACACAAGGACTGGGAGTACTGTACTACTAGTATTTTCCATCCTGCAAAAGTGCTGGACACCCAGTATAACAGAGAGTTATACGCAGAATTGCCCATAGAGCCTCCAGGTACCTCTCATGGAAGTTTGTTTGAGAAGTCTCTAGATTAGGGTGTAGGAGTTTGCCAGCTCTTTCTGTGTAAGGCTAAATAGTAAATATTTTAGGCTTTGTGGACCATATGATGTCTGTTGCAACTGTAGTTGGGTTTGGACTGTGTATGTGTGCAAATTTTTTCAGTAAATACATTGGAAAAATATTTGGAGATTTGTGACAATTTGAAAAACATTTTCTCTTCTCTAACTTTATTGTAAAAATGCAGTATATACTACATATAACATAAAAAATATGTTAATGTTTTTAGTATGGTTCAAGCTTCATTCAAAAATAGGTCATTTGTAGTTAAGTTTTTAGGGAGTCAAAAGTTATACACATATTTTTGACTGCATGGCAGGTCAATGTCCTTAACCCCCATGTTGTTCAAAGGTCAACTACTTACATCTGCTGCTGTTGTGTAAAAGCAGGTATAGGTGATAACTTAGGGGAATAGGCATGTGTGTTGCAGTAACACTTTATTTACAAAACACAGTGAGCCAGTGGGCTCTAGTTACTGGCCTGTGGTCAAGGAGGAAAACTCTGCGTTATGCTACACCCAGTATTCAAGGAAGGCAAAGTTTTAATACAATAACAGAATTCTATTCAGGTCATGATCACATTTTTAAAAAGACATTTTATATTTATGTTCTTGCTTTTGAGTTTATTGTGGTCTCATTCTAAGACCCCAACATAAACAGAGAACTGTAGGTAGTTAAAGAAGTTTTTCAAAGTGTAAATATTTGTAAGTTAACTGAACTGTGAATCAGGAAGCATTCAGAAGTATTGAAAACTAGAAAAGATGTCAATAATTTATTAAAACAAAGTTGATAATCATGCAGTTGGTATATTTTTTGCTTTGTTCCAAAAAAGAATGAAATGACTTGCAACAGGATGGTCCCTTTTGATACATTTCAGAGATTGAGAACAGCTAGAAATGTGTCAAAAAAGTAATAAGTATATAATGAATGTAAAACATACTTGCTCTGTTTGAACTTAAAATTTGTTTTTGAGAGGGAACTAGGAAGTGAATATGGCCATATAGTTTTTTGGATTCTCTTGAAATATCCATACAAAAAACTCATGAAATTAGATAGCAAATCCAAAAATGTACAATAAAACTAACCTCAGGCATCCTGAAATAAAAGAAGGCAAGGAAAGACCACTAACAGCTACAAGACCTCTATAATATTAGAGTTTGTGCACCAGTATGCAGAGAGAGAGAATAGGGTGTTTCATAGAACTTAAAAGTAGGAGACCTCCAAAATAGCCTCAGCTATTTACTAGACAATGGTGGACTATATTAAGAGCAGCAGCTGAACTGAGAGGGTTGGGGGTTGCCCACTCCAGTATGAAACAAGTATAGTGTGTCCATGTAAAGACAGAACAGGATATAGCAGTCTGGTTCCAAAGAATTCTTGAAGCAGACCTGGTAGAATTCTCTACCAAGACAGCATGCCACACAGAGTAGAAATGAAATTGAATACAATAGTACCATCAAGATTGAGGCAGAATAGGGAAAATTGAGAGAAATAAAATGGAGAGGAAAAATGCTCAGATAAGGATGGGCATCGGAACAGCTGTAAGATCTCAGAACAGAGGCTACTGTGTTTTTTAACATTACATAAAACAACAGAAGAGTGAGTTCTGTAAAGTTAGAAAAACTACCCTGAGCACCACCTTTTTCTAAAAGTTGAAGAAAATTAATTTCACATTAACATAAACATAAAAATACCAAGGTAAAATCCTATTTAAAGTTATAAGGAATACCTTACATTTATAACAGCATTTTAAGCTAATGGCAACTTTGAATGCATACTTAAACTACATTTTTGCTCTTCTCTCCATATTTGTTTCTAGTGTGATAGTTTACATCTTTTTAACATGGCATTGCAGTAATAGTTATTTTTACTATTTTTGTCATAATTAACCTTAATAGTAGATTTATAAAAGTGATTTACCCATCATCATTACAACATTAGAGTGTTCTGAATTTAACCATGTGTTTACCTTAACCAGTAAGATTTATACTTTGATATATTTTTCTGTTGTGAATAACTCTCTTTTGTTTCTGCTGGAAGTAGTACCTTTAACATTTCTCCTAGGCTGATATAGTGGTTATGAACTCTTTTAGATTTTGCTTGTTGGGAAAATCTTTGTCTCGTTCCTTCCGTTTTGAAGGAAAACATTGCCTGGTAGAGTATTCTTGGTTGGTGGTTTTTCTTTCAGCACTTTGAATAAATTATGCCACTCTCTTCTGGCCTGCAGAGTTGCTGCTGAAAATATCCTGATAGTCTTATGGGGGTTCCCTTGTGTGAAACAGTTATTTTTGTCTTGCTGCTTTTAAGATTCTCTCCTTGTTTTTAACTTCTAAAAGTTTAATTATAATGTGTCTTCATGTGGGTCCTTTTGGATTCATCTTCTTTTGACCTAACTTGGCTTCCTGAATCTGCGTGTCTATTTCTTTCCCTAGTTTAGGAAAGTTTTTAGCTGTTCTCTTTGAATAAGTTTTTCTGCCCATTTCTCTCCTTTTTTTCTAGGGCCTCATGTGAGTAAGAGTCTACTTGATGATGTCCCATTAGTCCCTTAAGTTACTTTCACTTTCTTTCATTCTTTTTTCTTCTCTGATTCCACTGTCCTATCTTCAAGTTTGCTGATCCTTTTTCTGCTTGATATAGTGTGCTGTTGTACCATATTATTAAATTTTTCAGTTCAGTTATTAAATTCTCCAGCTCTGAGTTCTGTTTTGTACTTTTTTATATATTCTGTCTCTATTGAAATTCTCACTTTGTTCATGCATTGTTCTCCTTACCTGGTGAGCATCTTTATGACCATTATTTCTAACTCTTTGCCAGATGAATCATGTCTGTTTCACTAAGGTCTGTTTCTGGACTTTATCTAGTTTCTTTACTTGGTGCATATTCCTCTGTTTATTCATTTTCCTTGACTCTCTGTTTTGGTTTCTGCACATTAGTTAAAACAGCCACCTCTCTTAGTCTTAATGGTATGGTCTTTTGTAGATGAACCTTATCAATCAGCTTGGCCCAAACTCTTGGTTGTCTTTCAAACCTTTTGATTGCCTAAGCTGCCTTATTTGTTCTTAGTGGCTGCCAGTAGTTGAGGGTGTGCCAAGATTTGTTAGGTGTTTGAAAGGGGATGATTGCAGTCAGCACCTAGGTTCAGGTTTATTGGAAGCTGGACCCTCAGGCAGCAGCTGGGAAAGTAAGGCCCTTTTATAGTTTGGGCCGTTTCAGGGAGAAATTTGCTGATGGGCTTTTTTGCCTGCTCCCTCTGCACTGGACCTGGATATAGAGCAGAGAGGTTGCTCTTATAATCCACTAAGAATTGCTTCATTGTTTGCTATAGTCCTGATGCCGGGGTTCTTGTTCACAAAGCTGAAGAATGAGCTTCACAAACACTCAAGGTAGGAGAGCAAGGTACAGGCTTTTCTTAAGAAGTAAAGTAAGAGGAAAGAGCTCCTGGCTTATGCCAGGAGGGGACAAGAGAGCCTGTGGTGGTGTGTTGTCTAGGGGGTTTTATAGGCAATTGAGGATTTTTCGAGAACATGAAAAAAAACTTAGGGGTGTGGATTTGCATCACCTGCCCTACCCTCAAGGTGGGCTGGACTTTTGTCTGTCCACTAGGGCCCTTTACAGTGAAGTCACAGGTTATGCTGAGATACCCTTATGGAACACTCAAACATTTCAGGCCAAGTTGCTCCTGGCCTTTTGACCTTTAACTGATCTTACTGAAGATGTCTATATTCTTAGTCTGGTATCTTTCCCTAGAGAATTAGTGTGACCTTGAATTTGCATAATGCTTAATACAGAGTTCAGTTGGGACTTCTTCACCAATTGTTACATTGCTCTGACTGTAAATATTCCGCCCTGTTTTACCCTGAGGCCCTCACCCTACTCTGACTACACCCACAGTCCCTGTCTCAGTCCTGTGGGATTCTGACTGGTTTTCAGAACCAGTGGGTGTATGCCACCATTCTTGGCTAGCATACAGAAAAGATGGGGCACTAGACATGTGTACAAACTGATTCTCTGGGGATACTGGAGATTTGAAGTGGGCTAGAGGTAGAAAGGTAGAAGTGGTGACTACTGGCATTCCTGATCTTCTTGGAGGATTGCTGTCAGCCCCCAGACAACTGCCCAATTAGAAGCCTAACCACTAGACAGCAGCTTTAAAGTATGCAAATAGACCTCTTTCGGGAAAAGACTGGGAGATGGGTGATTCTGACGGCTCCCTTTGTGCTGAGTCCTGCTGGGATGGATGTCTTATGTAAGCCTCCTGGTAACCGAAAGCAAAAGCCTTCCTGAGATACACAAAAAGATTAATAGAAGGGAGACTAGCCATACCTCTGCAGAAAATCATCACATCCAAAAGGAAGAGAGCAAGAAAAGAATGGAGCAAATAAAATACAAGACATCCAGAAGACAACAAAATGAAAATAGTAAGTCCATACTTGTCAATAATTACTATATATGGAAATGGAGAAAACTCTCCAATGAACACAGAGTGGCTGAATAGATAAAAATACAGGACCCTC